TCCCCCGGCCAACTTGCAGTTAGGATAGCTGTGCACTAATGAGGTTCAGGTGTGGGCTGCGCTCAGGGCGGTGCGGTAAGGGTGCAGGCTGCAAACACATTCTGACAGCCCCTAACTCCTGCTACGAGTGACACAAACCGACTGCAGCGCGCCGGGTCAAAGGTGCTGTAGGAGTTCAGCAACTGGCCTGCTTGTAACCTTAAAGGTTGCCATCTCGAGTAGTGTAAGTGGTTGTTTTATCCTGGAGCATAATCTGAATTACTCCAGTAAAAAGTGTCCCAATGTAAAAGTGTAAATTGCTTTTGATAGCAGCCATGTCATGTAATGTAATAAAGGGAGGAGAGGAGCAGAATGGAGCCCAAGGGCATTCGTGCCGCATGGCGTCAGGGGGGCAGATCAGAAGGTGGGGCACTAATCTCTAATCCCAGTGCAGGTGGCATCAAGCTGCTTTCTTAATGACATCGAGCTTCTCCAGTTCGCTCTCAATCTGGCCGCCGGTCCAGGTTGAGAGCCGCTTAGGCGCCGCTGCTCATAAAATATACACATGCATCCACAAGTGTTGTTAATGATCCAATATATCTTTGACTTCTTATTTTGCTATTGTCATATTATTTTTGGAGCCTGACAGCAAGCAGCCAAAAAAACATCTTTATAAAGTTTTTACATTTGGAGCAGTTAAGAGACAGAAAAACGACTTCATGACGTTAACTTGAAACCATTAGTAAGCTCTTAAAATCATTCATTGAGGCTGCACAATGAATCACGTTTTTAGCATTAAGGCATCAGAGAAAACTCAGCTTATATTTAATAAACTTAATAGAAACTATTCACAATTATCCTTTTGTGCCCACAACACAATTTCACCACATGAGGGGGCCAGTTCGCTTAAATTAAGGAGGGATGGCCATTAAATAAAGTCCTAGAATGGATGTACCAGTGGCAGTGAAGGACAATGAGTAAGTGTCGTGTAAAAGGGGAGCAGAGACTTCCACAGCCCGACTGAAACTGGCAGTTTTCGGGTGCACAGTTTCTGCACCGATCATTTTAAAGCACCCACTGGAAACAGAGAAACCCGACACGGAGGAAGTGCACTGGAGAGTCTATATAAACAAGGAATCATTTACAGGTGGGAAAAGCACTCCTGTGTCCCACTGGCCACATTAACAATGGGGCGGCGTGCTTCTGAAGTGCCAGCCTACAAACACACCTGTTGTTTTGCCGTCCTTTCTGGCCCTGTGGTTCATCCTCAGGACACGCAGCGCAGGCTCTCTAAAGAGGGCCGTTTGCTTGTTTGGAGAGCTCGGCATGCCCCTGACACCGGAGGGTCCTCAGGAGGGACTCCTCTGACCAAAGGTGGACAGACTGCACCGCGAAGGGTGAAAGAGAACGGACCCAAAATCAAATACAGACACTCCCGGGGTTACGATGGTCAGTGTTACAATGTTTTAACTTCACGATGAGTAAATGTTTTTCACTTTCAGTACAGTATTCAGTAAACTACATGAGTTATTCAACACTTTATTATAAAATAGGCAGGTGTTAATAATTTTGCCCAATGTAGGCTAACGTAAGTATTCTAAGCATATTTTAAGGTAGGGTTAGGGTTAGGGTTATGGTTAGGGTTAGGGTTAGGGTTAAGGTAGGATAGGCTAGGTTATGGTGTTAGTTAGGATAGGTGTACTGTATTAATATGCATTTTCACCTTTTGATATTTTCGCCTTACAATAGGTTTATCGGAACGTAACCCCATCGTAATGTTGGGGGAGGTTGTACAATCCACCCGCAGAGCAACACCAGTCGGACTCCAGGTCCTCTCATACTTTTAGTTAGGACATTTAAAGTTTCCTAAAAAAGGCCATTGAGCTGACAGTAGGCCAGTGTCACACCAAGGTACTTCAGTGACAGGAGAGAGCACAAGGCTGGAATGGCTGACCTGTACGGAGGAGAAGCTACAGTTCGGAAAACACTTACAGACAGACACATGTGCTGCGCGATATGAGACGGTCACACCCTAAATGTTTCAAATGCGGCAGCGCTCGCCTTGCATCTGAAAGGAACATCTAGAAATGAAAACCCCTCCACAGTTAATCCTCTGATCCTTAACCTTTTGGATCAGTAACTTATACCATGAATTCTAGATGCTAACAGCAAGCATAATTCTGAAACAGTAGCTCCTGGTGTGTGTATGTATGAATATTCAACTCTCTCCCCCACCTACATCATAGTCCCTTGATGCCAGGAGTCTGGTTGTGATCTTACTGAAACGTGGTGTGAAGTATAAACATGGTAGCTAGGTAGTCGCTTGAGGTAGCACCGGAACCTTCTAGAGCATCTAGGAATCAACTTTGCCATGAAAAGCATGAAATCCATTTTTGTGAGCAATCTTTCAGAACATTCCTCATCACCAGTGGTGATTAATTAAATTCTGCTCTTATTTGCTTTACCTCACAAAATATGTCTTTATGCATTAGCAGCAGTATCCTTACGGGTTCTGTAGGCGCAGAGCGAGCTGTAAGAGCCCTGTATGTACGACAGAAATGGTTCAGATGCCCCGTTCCGGACTGAGGCACCGAGGCACCAGCAAACGCCCCAGTTCTTACCCACTCTGACCACTTTCTCACAGCACATAACATCTACCTCTGTTGGGGCCTCTAGGCATCTGTGGACCACAGTCGTGCACATAGGACCTGTGGGAAAAATTCCTTAATTTCATCAACCACTATAAATGGCTCGTGCTGCTGTGTGAGGCAACATATTTCCCCAAAAATGCTGTACCGCAAAAGTACATTTGAACAAACAGCACAGGAGCTTTCGAAACTGGGTAAAATATATATTTTTAAGGATACTCCCGGCCTCTTTTTCCAGTTAAATATTCTCTGGAGAAAGTCACGACACCGTACCGTGCTCTTGTGCAACATTTAAGTGAGACCTCTAGGGTCCACGCAGTAAAGAAACTCAGTCATATTTACGAGCAACCAAACAAAAGCTTGTGCTTATTTACCCATTCACCATAACTCGTTCAATAAAATCACCTATGTGTAGCTATTTTGCAATGAAGTAACAATTCTCAGAAGTGAGGCAGCTCAACTGATTAATCTTTTTAACATCTATTGGCAAGTGTGACGCTGTGAGTTAAGGCTGCAAAGGCATTTCAAGCCACTTGATGTTTTTTATATACACTTGGCTGCCCCACATTCTCCTGCTGATCCTTTAGAGAATGCAAGTGGTCCAAACATTGAATATTCACAGTGACATCTGCAGCGCTGCTCACAGGGAAGCCCCGCACCTCCATGAGGGAGCCACTTCGGCCGTGCCATCCTACATCAATCACATCAAACGGCTACAGCGCAAAAAAACGAAGTGGATGGGGGACGAAAGATCAGGCAGTCAGAACAAGATGAGGACCCCGGCGTGCATGCAGTGGACAGATCTGTGTCCTAGCAAGCAGTTGGGGGAGATCTGTAGAGTCACTCTCCTGCTGCGTGGGTGAGTTCCAAAGGAGATGGGCAGCTGGCATGTGGATGCAGGCAGCGCACATGTGATTAACCCTCTGTGGACCTGCAAAACAAACCAAATCAGCAAAGATAAAGAGTTAAGTGAGCCTTTAAACTTCAGGAGACACCGGCCCTAGAGTCAAATGACAGAATTAGCATGAACATTTGATATTAAGGATTTGCATGTTACTTTCTAACTGTTTGGTTCAATTCAGTTTTATTTATGTAGCTGTTTTCTACTGAGTCCCAGGCCCAAGAGAAAGTCCCCAGGAAACAGTAGCAGGGAAAAACTCCTTCAGAGAGAGGAAGAAATGCCTGAAGAAACCAGACAGGCTGTTGAGATGTATGGTTCGGAAACACGCAAGTTTTAAATGGATTTATGACTATTTAGTGTGATCTGGAAATGAGTGACTGAGGGACTCTACTTAAATTATCAGCACATTTGAAAACCTCTTGCGCAGCCCTTCAAAAGAGTCAGCTGCAACTTCAAAGGTCTGAATCAGTGTTTACAGGCATTTTGCAGTTCCGGCAACAAAGAACATTAAATCACCATATTATAAGGCCTGTTTCTTCTCTGTAAGTTTTGCAGCTACAGCAAGCAATGAAACATTGGCAGGTTAAAAAAGAGGGCAGTTTGTACCCTGGCACAGGAAGGGAAATAACGGTTATACAGTGGCCTGACTGTGGAGTTTTATAAGACTTCTGATCAGGAGTAAGGGGCAACTTAAATCTTACGTGAACAGTATGCGTAACATCTAAAGCAAAAATATGAAATCCAGGTGTGCAGACTTTCCAGAGTCAGTGTAAGATCTCAGTTTTCGTGCTGTGCAGATGTTTCAGAGTCAGTGTGAGCTCTCATTTTACACCCTATGTAGATGTTTCAGAGTCAGTGCAAGCTCTCAGTGTACATGCTGTGCAGACGTTTCTGAGTCAATGTGAGCTCTCTCAGTGTACATGCTGTGCAGACATTTCTGAGTCAGTGTGAGCTCTCTCAGTGTACATGCTGTGTAGATGTTTTAGAGTCAGTGTGAGCTCTCTCAGTGTACATGCTGTGCAGACGTTCCTGAGTCAGTGTGAGCTCTCTCAGTGTACATGCTGTGCAGACGTTC